ATTTGCGAGATACTTGTACTTGAAATTTTAATTGGGCGCCAGGACGTCTCTAAGCAACGCCAGATAACCTTGATTTACACCACATACTCGCATCTAATTATTGTTTGTCGAGCCCAAAGATTTCTAAGACGCTTACGCTCATTAAAGCGACGAACGCACCTAACTCCTTTGGCGCATTGTTCATAAATCGTTGGTAATGGCAGACCAAATTCTAATCTTAATAAAGATTTTATGCTAATGTGTCGCAACGTCTTGTAGCTGCAAGATTTCAAGATACCACTCACCAACCGGGAACGGGAGCTACGACAAACGCATGAGCCAGGGCTGAGCTGCAAGCAGGACTTCAGCGCCTTCTGGCCACGGTTGCCGCCCACTTTTGTGTGTGTGTGTGTGTGTGTGTGGCAACCCTTTTATAGTCGCTGTCAACGCTCTCTACACCTTTCAAGCAACCCCGTCCCCCTCCCCCTCCCAGCCCACACTAACACACGCGACCGCCTGTTGAGGCAGTCGTCGCAGTTGCTTTGTTATCCTTTCGCCATTTGGACAGTCTTCGGCGGGCTTACGCAAAAGTTGGTGTGAAGCGTAGACTAGGGGTTGAGGTAAGGGTTGTCCTTGCTGCTGTTGTTGTTGCTTTTCTTGCTATATTTGTCGGCCGTTTTTGCGTGCATTGCACTTTTGCTGGGCTTGCCATTACGGCCGAGTACATCTATAATTACGTCACCTCGCCATGCTAGTCAGGGTTGAGCACACACACACACACACACACATAAGCAAATAGACCTGCGACCAACCTCCAATTCAGCACCTATGTACAAGTATGTATGTACGAGTGCAAGTACGTATGTATGTAGCTGTGTGCATAGACAATTCCATGTAGCTGGACTTGCCTCTCATTTGCTCGTGATTGCCCAACAAATTTGTTGGATTTGTGGGCCGCAACTTTAAAAAAACAGAAGCCATTCTCGAATTATGCAATATCTTTGAAATGATTATCATTTGAAAAAGGAGTCAGTAAAGAGATATGTATGTTTTAAAAAAAGTTATATTGTTTAATAATAATATGTCTCTGGAAACATATGGCTATCCAATATCAAATCAAATTCCCCCAACGGGTCGGAGGCATTCATAGAAATTATTGCACAGTTTTTTCTTAGGCTTTCTTATCTTTTAAGTTGAAATTATAACGTTGTATTATTAGATATCTTTATTTTATAATATTATAATATAATATAAATCATAGTTTTTGAATATGTATCGACAGCACTTTCTGTTGATTTATTAAATAAATAAAATAAAATAAAATAAAATATTATTAAGACATACCATCAATATTCCTCCACATTATGAAAGTTTCTTGATAGATAAGGGGAACTTAGAAGGAACATCTAATTTAGGAACACAGGAACAGTTCCTGTGAAAAATACTGTGCTAGCTTACCGGGTATGAACAGCATTAGCTTAACTCTTCAGTTCTCAGGTTGATCGGTATATTGTCTGATTATATTCCAGAAGGCGCACAAAATTTTAGAAAAGAAAGATATTTATTGTCCAACACTTTCATTTATCATTCGCTGGGTCTTTTTTTTTAAATTCCATTTATTTTTTTGTTAAACAAATATTTTAAAAACAGTTTACTTTTCTTAAAAATAGGAATATCAATCATTTCTATGGTTTTTCTTCTTTAATATAAGCATTTGTTTACTTGAAATCTCATCTTTGGTTACATTAAAAAAGTGTTTCCTTAAATTGAAAAACATTTTCGGAGGAATGTATATAAAATATAGAAACTTATGGCGCAATAAAGAAACTGCCATGAGGCCCTGCTTTATCTTCAATGTTCCGCTCCGGGGAATTTCAAATATGTGCTCTTTTGAAAACATTTTTACTGCACGTTACACTTAAGAAGATGATCAATAAACCTCAATTACTGTTTCCTTCATTCGATTAAAATAACTGTAGAACTTTCGAAAAACCATTTGCCCTAATTTGCTTTTGAATTAAAATATTCCCAGCTGTGCTGCTTTACTTAAGAGTCTGGTCTGGCCTGAATTTAATTAGCTTAAGAAAACGAAGGCCAACTACAGAGCCGCTTCTCTTAACCACAACTTAGACTTGCATATGCAGGACTTAAATAAAAAGTATTCTGCCAAAATCTGCTGTGACCGCAACATGCTCAGACTAAAAGATAAGAAAAGACATTTTCTTTACACACACACACACACACACATACACACACACAGCCACACACATGCATGCATGTGCTTGTCAATAAGCTGCTTTCCTTCAAAAATGTATAAGCGGCTTCAATCTTACAGCAAGCCCTCGGTGTGCAAAGCAAAAATAAATATGCAAGTGAACTTTCTGGGGCTGTCAGGAGCAGTCAAGTTTTTCAGCCTGATTTATATGTGATAGCTGGAAGTGGAAATGGGCGTTTGGGGCAACACACGTTGACACGTTTTGCGGTCAAGCAAGAGATAATAACAAAAACAACAACAACAAAGGCAGGAAGAACAATAACAAGAGACCAGACAACACATGTGAGAGTGGCAAGAAATGCGTGCTTATATTCAAAATGAAGGACACGACAACCAACTCGCAACACACAACGAACGCACTTATCACAGTTTTTCACAGTGGGGCCTTTTCTGCCTTGCTGTCGATTTTTCACACTTGCCTGCCCGAGTCCAGCTGTTGTCCGGCCCCGCTGTTGGCCAACTGGCTTGCCAACTACACCACTTGCCTGCCTCTCTTTTTTATTAGCTTTTTGTCAATTTCGGTCACGTTTGATAAGCTGTAACTAATAATTCATGGACGGGACGCGCATGGCCACGCAGCAAAATTTCTGGCAAGCTGTTGCTGCCCGATGATTTTAAATATGATTTGAATGAGTTTATAAGTTGGTTTATTTATTTGAGGCACAACAATGTGCCAGTCCCAGGGAAAATGCCAGAGGGTTGTTCTGAATGCCAACTGCTTCGACTTTAACTTGATTGATGTGCTTTGTAGTATATGTATGTACTTGTATGTATGTATGTATGCACATCCTATATAGTGAGCGATAGACAGTCATTAGCTTGAAACTGTCGACTGACGCTGGCGTCTGAGCGACCACGCCCCTTTCGAGTGAGTGCTGCTGACAGCTTGCCAAATTGTCTGCCGCAACTTATCCCTGCGATCCGAATGTCATGATGCATCATTAGTTTCGCTGAAAAATCGCTAAAGTCCTTGCTTCAATGACAGCCAAATACGTCCATAATTAAAATTTTATTTGAATTCTCAACTGAAGCGATTCTCATCACTGAATGAATACATTTAAGAGATTATAAAAAAGGGTGTCTATTCCACAAATAGGCCCAAACATTCCCTGTAAGCTGGATGAAAAATATATATTTTTAAATAAACGAATTATATAGCTAAATGAATATTAACTCACAATCGCAATCTTGGGCACTGTAACAATCTGTAATGGAATAAAACGAATGATTATTAAACTAGTTTTTGAGATTTCTATTACTAGTAGAGAGTACAAATATATCGACGCTATGGCGCTTACGTAAAACTATAATAAAAAACTATAATAAAATTGTATTAGAAAAGTAAGTATAGCACTGCCTAGTCATCTGTTCTGATTGAATATAGAAGTGCTCTGTCAGTTATATAATCTATCTTTAATACAATTTTATTAAATAAATTCGTTGCTTACATCAAGAAGAATTGGACAATTTTTCGCTTTCTTTATTCGCAAATTATTTTTCAGCATTAATTAATTATATCGACGCCTACTTACCAACTGAAGGATCTTCTACCAAGATATCACCTGAAAGTCATCTTTCATGTTCACTCCTTGATAGGCTTTTGGTTAAAAAGAAAAACTTACAGTTTGGGGCAACCAGCGACGATATTTCACTATTTCCAAAACAAAACCCACAGAAACTGAACAGCAAACAACATTTTAGTATTAGAAACATATTCGAAAGAGGATGAAACACAAATTTAATAAAGAGTTGATGCTAAATTTAAACTTTTAGAAAAGTTATTGGTATACTGCCAATCAAGTCCAAGTCGACTTCAGAACATGAGGTGAAGATATTACAATAGTTAGCGATAACTGGGCGTTGCAATTGAATCAAGCGTGCAAAAAAGCATGCATCTTTCTGCAAATCAACCATTGTAACATCACAGTTAGTTGACAAAAGCGTAGCGATGAAAGCCTCGATAAGATCCAGACTGGCCCTGCACCTAAATTTATTCATAGCGATCTTCTTATCAACTTTATACCGATCTACAGACGCTGGAGCGACTAATATGAATATTTCCAGCTACAATAAGTCGGCGAAGACTAACCAATTGGTACTCATACTTTTCCATAAGGAATGGTGTAAGTTTTGCAAGGAAATGCTTCCAGCATTCGAAAGAGCGGCAGACCAGATACGAGAAAAAGTCAAGCCATCTGGAATAGCCCTATTGGCGAAAGTGGAGTGCGATAAAAATGAAAAGCTCTGCAAGACGTTCAAAATAACGCAATATCCCACTACCATACTTGTAAACCACTCAAGAAAAATCAACAAGGAGTACACAAGGAAACGGTCGGAGAAGGCGATCGTGAATTTTATGAAAAAGGAAATAAAACGCCTCCAATAAAAAAGTTCTAGTCTAAAGTAAAATGGAATATGGTTTGATGTACACTCTGCAGAAATATACTCCATGTTATCCTTCACTTTACATCTTAATTTTAATAATTACCTCTCCCACAGTTTGCCTGGAGATTTCGAAATATAATTATAGGTGTGGTGATTTATGAGAATGCAGAGAGGTCAGTCAAAGATATCTTATATTTTATTGAAAAAAAAAACTGCCTATTCAACCGATTATATTAAGATTTCTAAGTTAAATTCCGTAAAGCGGAACATGCGAGAAAATCTTGCAAAAAGTCAAAAGATATTTGCCATTAGTATACCAGCAACTGAAGCAATAGCATGAGTTCGTCAAGAAGATCAGGCTTGACAATCCGCCTTTACATAATCGTGCTATTATGGCTGGTCCCTCAATCTGTAGACTCAGGAGCGGTTGTTATGACAGTTTCCAGCTATAATAAGTTGGTGAAGGCCAACCAACTGGTACTCATACTTTTCTACAACAACTGGTGTATGTGGAGCAGGAAAATGCTTCCAGCATTCGATAAAGCGGCAGACCTGATTCGAAATAAGTTCAAGCCACCTGGAACAGCCCTACTGGCGAAAGTGGAGTGCGACAAAAATGTGAAGCTTTGCAAGACATTCAAAATAAAGCAATATCCGACTGCCATACTTGTAAACCACTCAACGAAAATCAACAAGGAGTACAAAAATAAACGCTCGGAGAAGGCAATAGTGAATTTTATGAAAAAGCACATAAAAATGTCAACTCAAAAGAGAAAATAGGAATATCATTTAAAGTACACTTGGCAGAACTCAATTTCAATAAATAATATAAATATACACAATATATAAAATGTATGGAATATAATCGTAGGTGTGTGTGTTGATTTGTGAGACTGCAGTGCTTGTTCGACCGATTAAATTAAGATTTCTAAGTTAAATTCCGTACAGCGGAACATGCGAGAAAATCTAGCAAAAAGTCAAAGTATGTTTAGTATACAAGAGACTGAAGCTTGAGCATGAATTCGTCTAGAAGGTCGGGTCTTTACTGCTACTTCTCTATAGTCGTGCTATTATCGATGGTCCCTCAATCTGTAGACTCAGGAGCAGTAGTTATGACAGTTTCCAACTATGACAAATTGGTGAAGTCAAACCGACTTGTGTTCATACTTTTCTATAAGAGCTGGTGTGTTTGGAGCAAGAAGATGCTTCCCATATTCGAAGAAGCGGCAAATCGATTAGAGAAGGAAATCAAACCACGAGGAACGGCATTATTGACAAAAGTGGACTGCGATGAAAATTTACCGCTATGTCAAAGATTTCATATAAAGATTCATCCCACCACCATACTCGTAAATTATGCAAAAAATACCACGAAAGAGTACGACGAGGAACGCACCGTTAGTGTATTGGTTGATATTATAAGAAAGGAAGTTAAGAATCTAAAATAGAAATAGAAAAGTAATTGTCCTTCCAAAGTACAAATAAGTAACAGAAAACTAGTGTATGCCTTCTCTTAAATTGACACGAACACAATATATATACAAAGAAAATTATGGTTAAATTTCGAATTTTGTTCACTATACTTAATATTTTGACTTATTTAAAAAAATTCATCTTAAAGAAATTGAAATTTCATCAAAATGAATGTGTGTTAATAGGGTTACCAAAACAATATTATTCCGGTAAGTGAGAAAAACTGCATTAAAGCGTCGCAAGGGACAGTATAGTAGCGTGAATCTATAAATAACATGCCTGCTACTAAAGCGAATTAGTTAGATATTAACATCGACACAAGACATTAAGATGGGTGCAGAAAAGCTACGAATTTTGGATTACTTGGCACTTGCACTGATATTTCAATTACTGAATACACCCGGAAGCGCCGAAGTGAGTGAACTGTCAGCGATTGAAAATGCTTTGGAGGACAACGAATTCGTCCTCATTCTCTTTTATACGACCTGGTGCCAGCACAGCAACAAACTACTTCCAATATTCGATGAAGCAGCAGATGTGTTAAAAGCGGAGGATTCAAGACCAGGTCACATACTTCTGGCCAAGGTGGACTGCGATACTCAATCTATGATTTGCGAAAACTTTGGCATTCGAAAATATCCCACCTTGAAAATTGTACACTTTGGACATATCGCTAAGCGAGAGTACCGGGGTGAGCGTAAGGTGGAGAGTATTGTGGAGTTTGTGAGAAATGAATCGAAAACACATATGACGGAGTACTCGTCGTTCAACGATCTGGAACAAATCGGCATTAAAAGGCGCATGGTGGCTGGATACTTTGTTGACAAGAACGAAAGCGACTATCAGATTTTCCGCGCAGTCGCAGCATCGTTGAAAGAAGATTGTGACTTTTTTGTGGGCTTCGGCTATATGCCTGAAATGAAGGATTTCAAAAGAAACGGAGTGGTATATAACTCTGAGCTGGCCATAAGCCATAAGTTTTATGAACTCTACGAGGGAAACCTGAGTAGCTTTCAGGAGCTCAGAGATTGGACCCGAGCCAAATGCCTACCGTTGGTTCGTGAACTTACTTTTGATAATGCTGAGGATATTACCGAAGAGGGTCTTCCGTTGCTGATCCTGTTCCACACCTCCGACGATTTGTACGCCGTGAAGAAATATATGACGGCTGTCACATCTGAACTAATGGACGAGAGACAAAATTTTAATTTCGTGATGGCAAATGGCTTAGAATTTTTGCATCCTTTGTATCATCTAGGAAAAACGGAGAATGACTTGCCCTTGGTGGTGATTGACTCGTACGAGCACATGTATGAGTTTCCAAAGTTTGCGGATATAGAGAAGCCGGGCAAGCTGAAGCAATTCATTCTAGACTTGCGGTCCGGAAAGCTACACAGGGAATATCACTTTGGACCCGACGAACCAATTGTGGAACCGGAATCAAATAGTACAGTCACCGATGTGGCTAGATCGGAACTACCTGAGTCAAAGTTTAAGGACCTGAAGCCATCAGAAGATCGCTACACTTTTCTAAACAGAGACGAACTTTAGTTTTCATTTATATATTTGTTAATTAAATTGCTTGAGAAATCAAATAGAAAAATGTATACCCGCCTATCTTAAATAAATAACATTAATTATTATTTATTCTTAAACAGCACAGAGTTAAGAGTCGGTTCTCTGATCTTATTCGATTATATTTGTGAAGCAATAAAGAAAGAATTGGTGAAACCATGGCCACCTATCTGTGCATTCCTTTGTTCATCTGTTTGTCTGTATGAAGTTCGAGATCTTTTAGACATTGAATGCTAAGGTTACCAAACTTGGCATACGGATTTAACTTGCCTAAATGCAGATCAAGTTACACACCAAAATCTAAATATTTACTCTTAGTAGAACACAATTTTACTAAACAGGACATTGTATCATTTGTATATCAAATATTTATTACACATGCTGTCAATTGAACACTATATTAACATAGTTGGGATAAATGTCATTAAAGCGTCGCATGGGACAGTAGCGTGAATCTATAAATACCATGCCTGGTAGTGAAGCGAATTAGTTATAATGTAACATCGACACAGAGTTTGCCAAGACATTAGGATGGGTGCAATGCTAAAAATGTTGGACTACTTGGCACTTGCACTGATATTGCAATTATTGAATACGCCTGGAAGTGCCGCAGTGAGTGAACTCTCAGCGATTCAAAATGCTTTGGAGGACAACGAATTCGTCCTCATTCTCTTCTATACGACCTGGTGCCAGCATAGCAACAAACTACTTCCAATATTCGATGAAGCAGCAGATGTGTTAAAAGCGGAGGATTCAAGACCAGGTCACATACTTCTGGCCAAGGTGGACTGCGATACTCAATCTACGATTTGCGAAAACTTTGGCATTCGAAAATATCCCACCTTGAAAATTGTACACTTTGGACATATCGCTAAGCGAGAGTACCGGGGTGAGCGTACGGTGGAGAGTATTGTGGAGTTTGTGAGAAATGAAACAAAATCACATCTGACGGAGTTGTCGTCTTTCAACGAGTTGGAAAGAATCGGCATTAAGAGGCGCATCGTGGCTGGATACTTTGTTGACAAGAACGAAAGCGACTATCAGATTTTCCGCGCAGTCGCAGCATCGTTGAAAGAAGATTGTGACTTTTTTGTGGGCTTCGGCTATATGCTTGAAGTGAGAGATGTAAAAAAAAACGCAGTTATGTATAGCTCGGAGCTGGCCGTAAGCCAGAAGTTTTATGAACAGTACGAGGGAAACCTGAGTAGCTTTCAGGAGCTAAGAGATTGGACCCGAGCCAAATGCCTACCGTTGATTCGAGAACTGACTTTTATTAATGCCGAGGATATTACGGAAGAGGGTCTTCAGTTGCTAATCCTGTTCCACAACTCCGACGATTTGTACGCCGTGAAGAAATTTATGACGACAGTGACATCTGAACTAATGGACGAGAGACAAAATTTTAATTTCGTGATGGCCAATGGCTTAGAATTTTTGCATCCTTTGTATCATCTAGGAAAAACAGAAAAGGACTTGCCCGTGGTGGTGATTGATTCGTTCGAGCGCATGTATCTGTTTCCTAATTTTGCCGATATAGAGAAGCCGGGCAAGCTGAAGCAATTCATTCTGGATTTGCGGTCCGGAAAGCTGACAAGGCAATTACACTATGGACCCGGCGACACAAATGTGGAACCGGAATCAAATAGTACAGCCAATGGCGCGGCTAGTTTGGAGCCACCCGAGTCAAAGTTTAAGGAATTGAAGCCATCAGATAGCCGCTACACTCTCCTAAGCAGAGACGAACTTTAGTTATCATATATACATTATTTTTATTATATTGCTTGAGAATTAAAATACCTAAAATGTATTTCAATAAGTACTATTCATGATTATCTGATTCTTCTCTGATTTTATTCTCTACACCTAGGGTGAAGTGGGAATGTTATCATATTTATAAAGCAATAAGGAAAGAATTAATGATTACTTGTTTGTTCCTCTGTTTGTCTGTATGAACTACGAGATATTTCGGACCTTGATAGCTAAGGTTGCCAAACTGGGAAATTAGGCTGAACTTATCCAAATACAGATCATTACAAAACATATACCTATATCGAAATTTGCTATATACTATATAGCCCTCAAAGCAGAGATCATTAAATATTTACTCTAAGTATTGCAACATTTGTAAATGAAATGGGTGCTGTCAGCTAAAGACTACATTAAGATAATTGAGATAAATTCATTAAAGCGTACAGTGCGACACTAGCGTGAAAACGTGTAGGTGTGGATTTATTTTAGCGATAAGTGTTAGTTCCATTATTACAGCATAGCATGACAGGCTGATGTAGAAGGATGATTGCAAAAATAAACTCCAGGCTGTCACTCCAAAAATACTTCTCCATAGCAATGATCTTGTCAGGGGTCTTTCGACCTGTAGATGCCGGTGCGATGAATATGACGGCTGCCAACTATAAGGATATAGCGGACAACCACGAAGTGGTTCTTATTCTTTTCTATACCGACTGGTGTGAGCACAGTAGAAAGCTAGTACCACAATTCGATAAAGCGGCCGATCAGATAAGAGAGCAAGTCCCTGCACCAGGAAAAGCAGTTTTGGCGAAAATCGAGTGCGAACAGGAAAGCTCAATGTGCAATAATTTCGAGATCCTAAAATTTCCCACCTTGAAGGTTGTGCGCTATGGATTTATCGTTACAAAGGAGTACAGAGGGAAACGTTCGGTGGACGCTTTGGTAGAGTTTATGAAACATGAACTGAGGAGTCCAATTAATGAGCTGAAATCAGTGAAAGAGATCGAGGGACTTAACACCACAAAGCGTGC